TCCGTTCTTCTAATGTCTGAATTCCAGCTAGGACCATCCTAAGGATCTTGTTTTGGATCCTTTGGAGTTTAAGGTGATGGCATTTTGCGCAACTCTTCCAGATTGGCATACCGTATTCTATGACGGGAAGGATGATTTGTTTGTAGACATCAAGCTTATTTTTCAGGAACAGGGTTGACTTCCTGTTGATAAGTGGATACAACGATCTTATCAAGATGTTGCACTTGGTTTTCCATGTTAGGAATCTGAAGAAGATTGGTTGCATTTTCAGCAACCTCAGATTCATGAGGGCTGACGATGTTTTGTCCGAGATTATAGGAGCTGACAAAGTGTTGACCTATCGCGGCAGCCTTCTCTTCAGGAGTTATCAGATGAACCACTGGGTCGCCGGGACGATCCAGTGGGGTCAGTGGTGGAATGGGCCTAGGCTTGTTTTTAAGAATTTTTGTTTGTTTCCAGAAGGGCTTAGCACAATCTGGTAGAGAGCGGATCCTACTAGCAAAATCGTTATTTCTGAGATCCACCATCCTGGCCTGAATGATCTTTGTAATCGATTACAATTGGTCTTCAAGTTAGGCAGGCCGCTGGTACGCTGGTACTGCCTACGAATGGTGTTACGGAGTCTAATGAGATCTTTGGTGGGGCTGTCAAGGTTCAGAGTGTTACTCACCTGTCTGGATATTGGCACGTGTTGTTCCCTGGCCCGGGAAATCGCCTCCTCGATGGTTTGTAGACACCGGTCAACATCTTCGGACGTCACCGGTTGGACATGGTAGTCGAAGGTTGTGTCGACGCAGTGTTGATATTGCGCCCAGTTGACTCGATGGTAGTTGCGCCGGGAAGCTTCGAATCGGTTAACCGAGGATCCAACTTCGGCCACCACCGGGTAGTGGTCCGAGCTCAGCTCCTGGAATGCCACAGGTTGCGATATGTTGTGTCTCATGTTGCTTACTAGGATGTCGATGATCGCATGGAACCCAGACCGACTCAACCGGGTGGGAGAGTCCGGGGTCAAGATAGTATAGTGGCCCTCTTGCAGGTCTTCATTGAGGATGATGCCGTTTCTATTGCTCCGACCGTTGCCCCAAGCTTAGTGTAGATCGCCAGCGATGATAAGGTTCCCGCTCCTCCGGGTGAGTTTGATGATGTCTTTCCGGAGGGCCACTGACGACGCGTCCCTGTTGTTGGTTTGCTTGGGGCAGTAGGCCGCGATGATGGTTATTGGGCCAAGTGATGAGCTCACCTCCACTCCGATGGCTTCAAAAAATTAGGTGCTCCGAGGCTGAAAAGTTCGAAAGTACATTTGATTGAGCTGAATTTCGCGTTTATTATGACTCAATATTATGTCAAAATTGACGCTCGTATATGTCAGTCTCAGCGCACCTAAATTTACATCAACTTTTCTTAGCGTGTAGGCATCGAATTGAAAACATTTATTCTTTTAAAATATAGTGAATACTGTGAAGCACAAGTGAAGAAATGTGGTGTTCTTATTTCATCCGCGTTTCTAGTATTATATCTATGATAATCACTTCCTCTTTCAACTCGATCACACAAATATCGAGGCAGCAAACCGTTAACTACTTTAAAAATGAACACCATAGTCAAATATACAATTCTTTGCTTCACCGACAACCATTGTAAGGCGTCTAGCATCAAAGTTGAGGAAGTGAATCTATTGCATCGAAAAATCAAACGCATTATTTTATTCTGCAAGTGCTGTAATCTCGATATTTGTGTTTCATTGGACAGAAATAAAATGGATGGGCAAAAGTCTAGATGAGAAGAGATGATTGATTTGTATAGCTGTATTTTACTGGCAATAGTTAAATCGTTTTTCAATCGACATAGAATTCATATTTCTTGGCAATTTTCTTGATGACATTGTCAATGTGAGAGTTGAACTTAAGTTTGTCATCAATAATCACGCCAAGATATTTAATCTCCTGAACGCGATCAATAGTCTCATCATCATGAGACGTTCTCATTTAATCGATTCCACGACATTACCATACATTTAGTTTTACTTGTATTCAGTTTTAACTGCTTACACTTCAATCATCTACTTAGATACTGCAAATCTTCATTTAAGTTTGAGACGGCAACTTCTAAATCCTTAGGTGCAATGAATAACACAGTATCATCTGCAAAAAGATTTATGCCGCAAAACCGTAAAACACGTAGCAAGTCATTAATATACATAATAAATAAAAGGGGCCCTAATACACTTCCCTGGGGCACTCCAAGGTTATTCCCCACGGAACTGGAAACAGAATCATTAAAAACAGTCCGTTGCGTTCTGTCAGACAAATAGCTTTCAAACCATATATATGCAGTACTCGTAATTCCAAAGCGCTTGATTGTACTTAAAAGTAAGGGCCTAGAAATTGATTCAACAGCTCGTTTCAGATCCAACAATCGTATCTTTACGCTCCAAGTTGTCTTTCCACTTTGCTAACACCAAATTCAACGCAGTTCCACAAGAATGACCTTCCCGATATCCTGACTGTTCTGGTATCAACAAAAAGTTGCTATTCAAATACTCCAACAGCTGGCCTTTAACAACAAGTTCTAAGATTTTCCCTAATGTGTGCAACATGTTGATGGGACGAAACTCTTCGGCTTTAATCGTTCCAGCAACTTTTTGAATAGGGACCACTAAGGATTCCTTCCAAATTTGTGGCACATGTCCAGTTTGTAATGATTCATTAATAAGGTCCAGCAAGATGTGGCCAATGACATGAAAGCAATCTTGAATAACTCTAGCATTAACATTATCTACTCCAGCCGATTTTCCTAATGAAAAACAAATAACTCTAAGTTCATCTAATGTCATTGGGTGAAAAACTTCCAATCTGCAACTACTATTAACTGGCTGTTTTATTTCGTCAGGTGAAACACTTTCAACAAAATAATCATTAAACTTAGATGCAATTACTTGTTATGACTGTTTTAATGTGCCATTAAAAGTTATGGACCGCGGTTTGCAATTACTAGGTTTTAATAAAGATTTCAAAATTTTCCATAACTCTTAGCTGTTGTTTTGATGCTGATCAATCTTCCTTTGAACATATTCACAACGAGTTTTCTTTATCGATTGTGAATACTTATTACGCGCGATTGTGTACCTAGTCCAATGATTGTTATTATTTGATCTACAAAACTTATTGTACCATTTGTCCCTTTTCCGTTTAAGACGCAAAAGATCCAAATTGTAACAGCTGTTCGAGTTTTTCAAAAAAACAAACTTGTATGTAACAAACAAACATAATGCATGAATGTATGTGTAAACTAATGATGATGATTTTATGATATTTAAAAAAAATTAGGAACACAAAATTACTTACCCTTTGTAGAACCTTAAGTATAAGCCTTCTAGTTGGACATATTTACCAGAAGACGTTTGGTTAACCTGGCCCTTGAATTAAAAAAAAAAACACGGCTCTCAAAATATTCCAATGATCTTTACGGGGGCAGTGATAAAAATAAATGCAGCAATGTAGCAGTTTCAGGGTTACAGGTTATATTCAATTATTTTTTATTATTCCAACTGGACATTGTACATTATACATTAATGAAATTGCAGTAAGAAATTTCCTATTGTTGATATTTGCAAAATACCATTGGCTAGGATTTAATGAAAATAAGAACCTGCATTGATTTAGTCTTATAAATCATTTAATTACTCGATAATTCAATAAAAAAGATCCCATCCTTCTTGAATAGGTAACTCATCCTCTCCTTGGTTCAGTATTTGTATCAACTCAATTAATTACACAAATAGAATTAAAATCTTAGATCTTAGCGAAATTGTGACACGGAGTCACAGGTGTTAGATGTAGATGTGGAAATCAACACAGTTCCTGATAATGTTGAGGTACAGAAAGTCGATGAAGCTACTGGAGGTCATGCTTGGCATACACAGTTTTGGTCACGAACTGCTCATTTGCTAATAACTTTGCACACAGTTGACGGAACTTAGTTCTTTTTGAAACAGTAGATAGAATAGAGTGTAAGCTTGTTATATATATGTAAAAAAAAGTAGATTTTAATGCTAGTAGTAAACTGTATTTGTTTTTGCGTTGTAAAAATGAGGTGAGAAATGCTCACTACACATCTCAGAATTTAAGTGTTAAATTGATTAGTGTTGATTCAGATGTTAAGCTTTACCTAATCTTCGCATATCTATAGTAAACTATGAGCCTAAGCTATCAAGAACTTTAAAGAAAAATAAATTTCAACATCTGAGTGAAAAGTTATTACCAAATGAGCAGTTGGTGTGTACAACTGTGCATGCCAAGCATGCTGGAGGTGCCCCAGTTCCTGAACAAGTTGTGGAAATTAGTAACAGAGCTGGAGTGGGAAATGCGAGTATTCTACCCAATACTGGAATTCTAGCAAAGTTTATCAAAAATGCCGACAATTCCTATGGACGTTGGTACCTGAAATTCAACAACCAACCCCTGCGATTGAGTGTTCGATACCCGGTACTAAAGCACCAGTTACATCGTCTACCCCCATACGTTCTGTTGAATTGATTCCAAAGGTAATCGTACCAAAACCACCGGTGCTTACAGCTGCCTATACTGACAAAGCTGGTTCCACGACCGATTATTCCAAAATCGCTGTTCTCAAAACCTCTACTGCCAAAGTCACCATCTGTACAAGTACCGGTCTCGTTTCTACCAACAAAAGAGTATCAGCAGCGATTGTTCCCACAGTCACGCATTGAGCAGCCTACATTGTTTGATCCAGAATAACGTAGAGTGCCGTCGTCAAAGCAGACGCAACAACTGTTGTTGCAAGAGCCACTATCGTCGATACCAGAGCAATATGAAATACATACACCACCAACACCGCTATCATCATCGGACTGTCCATTGTTCCTACCAACACTCATGTCACCGATATCAAGGTCTTTGTTAGGAAATCCTATGTTGGATGTATTGAGATAACGGCAGCATAGTTCTTATCAAATCTACGATTTCGATTTCGTTCGTTCTATCGTACTTATCTGTCTTCCCGGAGACACTTAACGATGACTGATGCGGTAAACGAAATACGACAAAAGTTAGTCTTAATCCGACAAAGGTGCACATCGGATCGCAAAATCCTTCACGGGGACCATGGAAATTGATACGAATACATCAGATGAGCTGGACGTGGTCAAATTTGGCAGCAAGTGAGTTAATCGATTTTCTTTAATGGAATAGTTACCTAGCACTAATCTATTCACAGGTCAAATGAATCATCCAATGCAGCCAAGAAAAGTGCGGTTTCCCGTCCTACCCTGGACGAGTACTACGACACAACGAACAATCGCCGGGGCGTAGCGCTGGTGTTTTGCCACATGAACTTCTCGAGTATGGTTAAGCGAAACGGAACTGATAAGGATCGCGATGACATTTGCAATGTTCTCTATGGGTTGGATTTCGAGGTACGCGTTTTTGATGACCTAAGTGAGAACGAGGTGCTGGAAACGCTGAAGAAAGTTTCTCGAGAGGACCACACGGACAATGACTGCCTGGTGGTGGTTGTGATGTCCCATGGGGAACAGGGTATGCTGTACGCTCGAGATAATAAATACACCGTGGATTCGTTGTGGAAGAATTTCATAGGAAAATCATGTGAATCGTTGATTGGAAAACCAAAGTTGTTCTTTATACAGAGCTGTCGTGGTGAACAACTCGATGAAGAAGTCACCATGGCAGCTCGTGGACCCAAGGACATGGTGGATTCACGGCGAGAACCAATCGTGTACTCAATTCCGGCCATGGCAGATTTGCTGGTGATGTATTCCAACTACGATGGGGACTATTTGTGGAGAAACCCCAAGCAGGGATCGTGGTTCATACAGTCTCTATGCAAGGAGTTGACGGACAATGGACGTACTAAAGATTTACTGTTGCTATTGACTGGGGTTACGAGAAGGACTGTCTTCGAGTATCAGACGTTTGTGCCGCATGATGAGCGGATGGACGCCATGAATCAGATCCCCTGTATCGTTTCCATGCTGACGAAGGTTTTCTATTTCGCCAAGAAGACCAAGAGTAAGGTGGTGACTGATATCGATTAAACTTTGCTATGTATCTCTTTTAAAAATATATGTATTTGTTCATACGATGTCTTGCCACTTCGTTATATTCTACTTAGTTTGGTCATTTCAAACTGAAGGGCTTGACAAAGAAGCATGGAACTCTATTCTGGTTAAGGAGTTGAATAAACGTGTTGCTATACTATGAAGGCATTAGTTTCATTGTAGTTAAAATTATAGAGCTCTAAATACATTATAATTTATCTTTATCTGATTTACACATGATCATTTCACAATAATAGGGTAGAGAACTACTGCAGCCTAAGCGCCCATTTTTGGCCTATCAAGCAGAAAACATCAAATAAATCAATGATTTCGGCGTTAACAGGTAAATTATGCTTTTGGTACGATACTTTAGTTCAAACGCTACCGAACAAAGTCAATAAGAACGCGTGATATGAATGTTTGCACCCAATATTTTCAAAAACAAATGAAGCGCTCCGAGCGAATCAATCTTTATCTTCATCCGATGGGCCGAAGTGAATTCATTCGCGTTTCAATGGCGTTTCAATGCGTTAGGCCGAGTATAGAATCCGTAGGCCGAGTTTGGCGTCAAGAAGCTGTGTTAGACTTTTGACAATATCTCAACGATTGGTTTCTTTTTATATAATCTTACCGTACGGAAAGGTAAATACATTTGGAAGCCATCAGTTTTAATAACATTCCTTTTGGTGCTAAACTGCGCCAGATTAAGAAAGATTAAGTGCGGGTTGTGCTTAATAGGCCGGAAATGGGGTATTTAACCCTACTTTCAATTCCAACTCCGATTCTTCGACTCCGACTCTACAGCCCTGGCTTCAACCTTAACGGGGCTTTATTTAAGCACTTTCAACGTAATCCCACAATTGTTATTTGAGAGCATTCTAAACCCAGATAGACCGCAAGTCCGGACCGGAATTGAACCTGACACCTCCGTTCGTAGTTACCATTTTTGGAACATTAGCCACTTATGCCATCACTAGAGACGTTACAACCAACTAAATAGGGTTCCTAACAACGTACAATCCTACTTCTGGCTACAGTCTCGTAACTCCGTTAGCCACCACCCACACGAACAGTCCTAGGGCTTCCCTCCCAATTGGCCGAAGTAGTCGGTGGTCCAGCTTGCAGTCTACGCTGAAAAAACTGGTTCAGTTTTTCGTTGGCTTTTCGCGTGTGCGGTTGTCCGGATTGGAAGGAAGAAAGGGAACATTGTACCGACGGTTGAAGTGAAGTGAAGTGTTAGTGTGGCAGTGTCTACAGGTCTGGCAGTGCCAAATTGGATTAACCCGGCCGCGATTTTGGACTGCCCCGTGGCCCACGCTTTGCGTTTTGCGAGAGGATTGGATTAACAGGTGGTGCTTCTTCGAGGGAGAACCGGTAAACCGTCGAGCATTCCCTTGGCGACAAGCTTTGGTTGGTGGATGCGAAAGGATTGGGGATGGGATTCGGATATAACACTTGACTTGATTTCTTGACAGCAAGTTGAAAGGGAAAGTATCGGTGTCTGGTGGGTTTTTTTTTGTAGTGGTGGAAAATTGTGTCGCGCTGGAAAATCGATGCGATAATTCAATTAATGCAACATTGAAATGAGGCGATTGCGGTGAACTAAATATATGGTGTTGATTGAACAGAGTGTCTCTCTTCCTGCAGTGATATTTAATCAACGTTCGTACAGTTCTTCCACCATGAACACGTGATGGTGCGTAACGAATAGGTCGCTCACACGTTGCGCGACCTCTGGTTATTATGAGAAGATTATGCACGGAAGCACCTGATTGGAAAAAACTAACCCAACGGAAGAGACCTGCCTAATAGGATGTACTCGACTCAGATTTGGACAATTTTAGTTCACGAGATTAGCTTATGCTTGCTTATGAATGTTCTGCGGTAGTGCTTTATTTTTGCAGGAAAGTTCCAGGAACGTGCGGTCGTGACGTGACTGTAGCCGTTTGTAATTCAATCGACCGTACAGAACTCGGAATCCATGGAAAAGTGACAGAGTTCAAGCAAGTGTCCGAAATGCAATAGCACGCCTAAGGGATATCATGCATTTTCAGTGAAGCTCCTTCGAACGGCAATGCTTAGTGATTAGTTGGCTTATGTTTCTTGTACTCACCAAATGCATACAGTTCACCAATATTCATAGAACAAGAGTGTCGAAGCATTAAAACGCAGTGTCGGTATGCTGAATAAGGAAAACTGTGCTACTGGAAGAAGGAGGAAAAGCAGAAAATTCATTCACGTATCATATAGCTGTCTACTTAGCGGCGTTTTCTGGTTCTTTTCTGCTTCATCACGTGCTTAAAGTGATCGTGTTTCACCTGCAAGAGCCGACTCAAGTTGGTTTGATGCATTCGGTTGGATGGAAAGGATTTAGCTACCATCCGGCTCCATGTATTGCACCATCCTTCGTGTGGTAGATCAGGTGACTGGCAGGTGTTTACATGCTGCCTACCAGATTAGTGTGCTGTTTTGCTATGTAAATGACGAGACGTTTTAAGAGGAATGTTCGCATTATTATTGGGAAAGTCCACTCCGGTTTTTAAATTTTGAATTGCTTCTATTTATCAATTAAAGTTTTTTTTTCGATGATTCTACGGGCGATAAATGCTCAAGGGCTAGTTTGATGAAAGCGGTTCAAAAAGGTAGATTTTGACTTTAAATCCCTCACACTAACAATCAATTTAATTAAAAGTACTTCATTCGAAAAATATAAGCGATTTAAAATTTATAATTTTTTGGCCACACAGTAGCAGAATCGATGGCATATTTCCTCCTTGTATGCAATTTAGAAAAAAAAAAAAACGCGGATCTCTTGGTCTACATTCAGGAGATGACAATTTATCCGGTTGTTCCGGATATTCAGAGGACCGTTTTCTGGCCTCCCGATTTGGTGATGGCATATTTCTTCTATGCCATGGACCTATGATTGTATGTAATCTAGAAAAAACGCGGATCTCTAGATCTCGGGAGTAGACCATTTTACCGGCGATTCCGGATATCCAGAGGACCGTTTTCTGGCCACCCGGTATTTCCTCTATACTCCTGTCAGTGTTCGGAAAAACTCAAAAACTCAAATCTCATGCATGAGTTTATGCGCCTATGAGTTTTGCCTTGCAAAATTCAACGTCGCAAAAATCACCGATGAGTTTTCAGGTTCAAAAATTCATTGCTTTATATTTTGGCGTTATTCGTTGTTTTTACTATTGTTTGTGCATCAGGGGTTGGAAAACTAGCACAACATGCATAGGCATGATATCAATTGATGTTTGAGGGGTTTTTTTTTATGAGTTTAAAGCTGGAATGATTTTCCAGCGTTGTGAGTGTGAGTGCGTGAATATGCATGAAAATCTCAGGTGTGAATTTTGTTTGCCGCATTCGCACGCGAGTTTATTATCGCAGGGAGACTCAATGAATGCGATATGAGAATGATTTTCCGAACAATGCTCATGATTGCTTGCAATTTAGCAAAAATCAGGAATTTATAATTTGTCCGGTGATTACGGATATGCAGAGGTTCGTTTTCTGACCACCCTGTAGAAGAAACTATATGCATATTTTACCTATGCTCATGATTCTATGCAATTTAGAAAAAAAAACGCGGATCTCTAGGTATACTTTCTGAAATTGACCATTTTCCCTAAGAATCTGAATTTCCGGAGAGCCACCTCTTATGGGTTTTCCCGATCCGACTGCCTTAGCGCAAGTCCTTTTGGTTACCTGTCTGTTCCGGTCGAAAGTAGATAGTCGTACCCAGGGCTGTCATCTGATCGCTCAATGTGCGCAATGTACTGATTTTCTGAAATAAACAAAGTGAGAATCAAGTAAACACAAAGTTTGCTTGTCTTTCTCCCTGCGCATGTGTAAAGCAGTCGAGAAGAGAAGACAGATACACACCCAGAAATAATGAAAACTCAATGTATAGCCATCGCCCCGACGGGTCTGATGCAAAGAACGCCACTCAGTGTCGAGACGGTTTTATCAAAAAACGAAGTTACAGACGACATACTGGCGAAGAAATCCATTAAAATAATGTGGTTCACTGTAATAGAATTTTCTTGGAAGCTTGTGCCATCATCCACCAGATGGGTTAGTTTTTTTGTTTTGATTTGAACAAAGTTGATTTTGTGTACAATGATTCTTTGACAGTGTGCAAAGAGTGCGTATCATTTTGTTATTTTTTTATGCATTTCAGTTTTGAGTAGAGTGAATGAGATAGAACCAAAACATTCTAGTACATTTGGTGAAAATGCTAGTTCAATCTAATAGTAGTGTTGCCATGTGGTACAATCCAGTAGTAGTGGTGTTGCCATGTGGTACACTGAAAAATTGAAATAGCAGGTTAGTCACCAAAGTTTTCGAGTCGCTCCGTCTGTCACTTCGTTTGTGGTTTTATGACAGGTGGGCAGGAACTCACGGTCTCCCAGTGTTGGTGAGTTCTTTGCCGTTAATGTTCACGAAAAGTTCACTATTGTGCTACACAGAAATTCAAAACAAATTTTTTTATCTGCGGATTTGAACTGTTTTGGACCTGTTTCATACCACCGGAAGGTGTAAGCTGGTCACAAATGCCGTGCCAAACTGATTTCCTACGCAATTAATCTAGCTTTGATGTGAATTTCGCTAATAAACACGAGGAGCATTTCTTATAGCAAAACTTGCCATAACAAAATGGGCGATTCATTTTAGTAAACAAACTAACACTTCTTCCGACTGTGGCACCTATATATTAGGCGCCTAGACTCAGTGTAGGGTTGCAAATGGGAAACCTAGTAAAATGGCAATATTCTTCTTCGTTATGCACTTCTTAATCTCTTATGCTTGCAGTCGTGGTAAGCAAAGTCTGCTAAGAATTTAAAGAAGATATTAGCGTTTGTTGTATTACACCCGCTCCCTGCGCCGCACGGAGTGTACCGCTCATTGTGTAGATCACATTCTCACGGATTAGTTGGAAAAGAGTGTGCGAATCAAATGGGAGAACCACACACTCTTTGTCGAGTGTTGTGAGATACATGCACAAAGTTGCTTTGCTAACGCTCTGAGGTGCTTTCCAGTCCTGGTCGTACCTTTCAAATAGTTTCTCAATCTTAAAATTTCGTTACACAATTTGCCGAGAAATAGTCATGTCAGCATGAATCACAACACGCAGTTTTTTTTCAGGACTCTTCTGGGTTTTCTTTTCCGACTAGGCAGGTCCAATCGGGATTCTATCTGTTTCAAATGAAGATAGCCATACCTTTTGAATGGTGGCTGAATCATAGCGATTGATCATTGGATTGTCGAGAACCAGCCATGTCAACCATGAATCGACACGTTGTGTGCAGCCTTGGTTCTTTGAGGAAGTTGTGGGGTTCTGTCAGTTTAAGATACTTTCAGCCATACATGGGAAAATGTATGGAAACGGAACAATACTAGGTATTCACTTTCTGTAAAAAAAAATTAATTTTGATTAAACCTTCAACTTGCATTGAAAATACAATGCAAAACAACTTTGTCCAGTACTCAAACAGATGCGATTTCTGAATAGAAAGTTTATAACCTAAAAGGTTAAAAAACCTTCATTTTAGGTAAGGTAAGGTTACTTTATTATAGAGACTTTCAGCCATTGGCTGGTTCGTTTCTGTGAGCCTTTATGTGTGCCGTTCAAGGATTCAAAAATATCTCCAAATGACAAAATGACAAGCGATCAACGAACCGAATGATAGCGCTATGCCCCACTTCTGACATAGCGCTATCAATGATATAATCTTATTCCTTTTTTCATGACAAGCAGCCCGTGCGGCACAGCTCACTCGGGGCGGTATAAGGAAACTAAGAGCAGAGTTGTGACCTATCACAATCACGATCGCCAAACAGCTGATGGTATTAACGCTTTGTACATTCCTATCAATGTGCTCGTCGAAGCTCTCTACATGATCATCCATCAAGTTGACGAAAGAAGTAAAAAGCAACTGATGAATGTCGTCTTTTGTTGTGATCCATCACCGATCTGGTCATTCCCGACAATCACGACACTCATCTGTGCTCGTTTTGAAGCAGTTGCTGCTTTGCTTGCTTATGTTAGTGAGTGAGTTGGTGAGTGAGCCCAACAGCTTCCGTTTCATGTTGCCTGCTTTGTTTGTAGCTCACACAGTCGCGCCTGCCGAGACGTACTTGGAATGCGTAGGCATTGTTTTCATTTTCTTCTGTCGTTTCGCTTTTTCTCATGATCGTACTGCAGAAGTCTTCACTGTTTTCGTTGTGCTTTTCATCATCAGCAGCGAGTGTAACGTTTTGCTTGTGAGCCGCGACCATTACTGGTGATTGTTGTTTGCCATGGCTCTAACTCTCACTGCGTGACAAAACGATCTGT